GCAAGAAATGTGTAAAAGTGCATAAAATGTGCATAAAATGACAAATTACATGGTGAGTATATTTAAACGAGTACAAAAAATACATGTTCTAAAAATGTGTTTATTTCCAAAGTTACAATTTTTTTCCTTCTGATATATTATAGCCTAGTACATAGTACTTCCTCCGCTAGCATCCATCATATCTCCAATTCTGTGGGGGAAGCAGTCGGCCAGTTCTTCCAACGCGGTGTGCATGTTTTTTTGCTTTTCTACAAGCGTGTAGTGTTCCGATCATCACCATTTTTTATGTCTTAATAGACATTTGTCACATAAACATTATTCCAAAAAATCACGGCTGTTGATATAAACAAACAATAGTTATAATTGTTTTACTAACTTGCAGTCCATTATTTTAGGCTGTACTCGTTTAAATATACTCACCATGTACGTTCAATATGACTTTTAAACCTCTGATAGTCATAAAAATCTAATTATATTCCTACACAGATGCTAAGCTGCCCTAATCTCTGCAACAAATTGAAAATGAAAACCCAAAGTTGAAAAAATTAAATAGTTTTATACAAGAATTATATTGTTGAAGAAAGTCCGTGGAATAGCACAAAATTGTTGTGATGAATAAAATATGTCGAAAAAATTATTTCTTTAGAAGCATTTCAATATTTATGTGTGCTTTGCCTGATTTTTTTGTGGATGTTTTTAACGCTATTTTACATTTTTATGCACCAATTTTTTGTAGGTGTTGTTTAACAACAGAAACAATGCAATATACTGAAAATAGCCAAAATCACTAAAATTTACATCGATTCATCTATAAGTTAATCTTGACTTAATGCCACTGGTTACAAGCGATGGTGGAAGATATGCTACCACGCAGTGATGGCTTGTAACCAATTCGGAGGACTTCGGGTGTCCATCACCACAAGCGGTAGAGTCATTTGGTGACAAATACGATAACGGCTATCACCCAGCTTCTTAGAGTGTACATATTTGTGATGATGAAGTATCTGAATAATTTTACTATACGGTGTTTAACCATGTTTAAAAGTTTATGATTTTGCATAAGGTTTGTTTAAAGTGTGTCAAAAACAGAGAAAAGGTGTGCCTGAAGCATTTACATCTTGTTCAATATCATTTTAATTTATAATGTCTTCCTGTCATTTGGTTTGTTGGATATTTTGGCAACATCACCATCAAGAACTCAATAAACTAAATATTCTATAAAATACGCCTATTCAAGTGTTTAATTATATTCATGACATTAATGCCCTATATTTACAAAGTGTCACGGGAGGCACACTTAACTTGACCAGATATCCTCGTGACAAGCTTACTTATCTGGACTAGTACCTCTTCCGTAATATAACTTTACTTGAAATCTAGACTTTGGCTACTTATGCCCTAAAAATGACTTTGATAATGCTTTCAGCGCTTGACTTGACTTTAGGATGATGAAATCTTAACTTTAACTCGCAATTAAAATAACCAAGCTTGTAAATACTTATTTTTGGAAATTAAAATGGAGCTTTATTTCAATCAAACTATTTGGCATGAACAGCAAAAATCACACTTCCTCTCTCTTCGAGTTCAACTTACAGACTACTTATTTTTTACAAATGGCTACTTTTTTTTTTTTTTTTTTTTAAAACTTATTACCAGGCCAACGCGCCCCTTTTCTTCTCATTCACCCTCTTACACTTAATCAATATCCGAATCCTTCAACAACCCACTCAATACATAGGTAATGTACATACATAGGTAATGTACATACGTACATAGGTAATGTACGTACATAGGTAATGTACGTACATAGGTAATGTGTACCGCCATAAGGATCATTTTCTACAATTATAATTACCATTCAAAAAACTTATCGATGACTTATTTCGTAATTCCTAAATGCTAAATGGTGGACAAATTTCTTAAAATAATATTATAAATTATTTTACACTCCCTACGGTCCCACGACACAAAGTGTTCAATATCCTGCCATCAACACGTCAACCATAATCAAGCTGAGTCTCCTTCAAGTCTTACCCTCTTGAATAATTAAGCAACGCTCTCCAAATCCGTACAAAAAGTCGATTTCTGCGAACTTGATCAAATTTATTTCCACTTCATATAAATACTATTTACATCTAAACGTTAGATTCTAAAGTATTTTAAAAATATGGAAAATGTATTACAAAAAACCAAAAAGTCTTTCAAAATTAGCGACTTTTACAGCTGTCTCTTTGTAACATATGATCCTCACAGGGATCTTATCGTACCGACAAGGAAACGAAAACATGTCGTAACTTTTATTTTGATTGGATTTCACTTCGTCCAACTTATATGCCAAATTGTCTCTGTGGCGACAAGGGTGTCAAATTTGGTCGAAATGGCGGCCGGAATTGCATTGACAGCTGCTTATTTTATATCATTCTTGTGCAGACTTGACCTCAAAAGGGATCCCGTACTTGGACAGATGCTGAATTTCATTAAGGCCAGAAAAGGTAAAAATATTTTCATTGGTGGTTAATCGTAATGCGCAAACTTCGGAAACTAAATGCTGTGATGCGAACAAAAAACAATTTTGATATTCCTTAGAAGAGAATTTCCTGAATTTCGAACTACGGCCTATTGTTAGACTTATTGTACAATTAAGAACTGGTCTTGGACAGTATAGTTATAGCACAAAGACCCTAAAATAGCCATATTAGAATATTTTCAAGACAATTCCCATGAACCAAAGTGTATATCCTGTCCCATTACGGAAACTTTGTACCATATAATGTTTGTATGTCTCAAATAGGCTATTACATACACGTATGTAAGAGAAATCTGAGTAATCTGTGATTGTAAAAGCTGGCGCCATATCAATCTTGCTGGAACAAATATCTATCTATCCATTGATACCACTTCCATCAGAATTTTTAATTGAAATTCTTATTAATTTCCTAGATTCCTTATCTCTACGTAGCCTTCGTCGTGAAGCCATCACCTCGACCTGTTTGGGCATCTTACTTGACATCATCCATATAGCCGTATGGCTAGTTCCGCTTATTGTGGCGGCTTTGACACTACTATCTCCATGCTTTCCACCCCTCATAACGTCACTGTTGTGTCGTCCTATCAAATCCAAATTTGTCTGGATGAACGGAACTTTCTCCAAGATTGGGTTCGCCATTGTCGAATTTGCCCTTTGCCACATGGCCACCACCACAGCGAACTATTACGCAATTATTTTTCTTGTCATGGCAACATCCAGGTTGTGGTTGGACTGCAAAAATTTATCCGATAGTGTCGCCGCGACCGAAGATCAGATAATATTCTACAGGAGGATTCAGATATATGAGAAAACTCTCAATTCCTGCATTCGAGACAGGATTTTCTTAACTTTGGCGCTTCTCGGCCCACTATTTCAAGTCTGGGTGGGCTATGCTCTAATACAAGTTGCTAATTCGGGGAATATAGTTATTTTAGCGCTATGTGGAGTTATGTATGGCGCCATGTTTTTCATGATTTTGTTCGTTTTCTCCGTGACCGGTATAGTTAACCGGGTGAGTTGGTATTGGATAGCGACTCGACGGATGATAGGTACGAAGAAAGTAGTCAGGAAGACGATGAAGTCTCTGGTCCCGGTCAGGATCCAGTTTGGAAATAATTTCGTCGAGCCCTTGACGCCTTTGGTGGTACAGGAATATTGTGTCCGGCAAACAGTTTCACTTCTCCTATTGAGGGGATAGTAATATCAGACAAGGAATATGCATATGAGGTAAAAAAATTATGATAATTAAAATATATGCGGTTTACGAACCTGTAGCAGCAGACTGACTTATATACCTGTTACTGTTGGGAATGAACGGATACATTTTTGTATGTAACATTCCTTTGCTCTTTACTAATCAATGCATCCCTAGGCTACAATATACCATTGTTTCTTTTTAGGCGCATAATATTATTTTTATGCATGCATAATGCAAGAAATGCGTAAAAGTGCATAAAATGCATAAAAATGTATAAAATATCAAGTTATGTTTAATATTACTTTTAAACCTCTGAAAGTCATAAAAATCTAATTATATTCCTACACAGATGCTAAGCTGCCCTAATCTCTGCAGCAAATTGAAAATCAAAACCCAAAGTTAAAAAAATTAAATAGATTTATACAAGAATTATATTGTTGAAGAAAGTCCGTGGAATAGCACAAAATTGTTGTGATGAATAAAATATGTCGAAAAAATGAAACATTATTGCTTTAGAAGCATTTCAATATTTGTGTGGGTTTTGCCTGATTTTTTTGTGGGTGTTTTTAACACTATTTTACATTTTGATGTACCAATTTATTGTAGGTGTTGTTTAACAGCAGAAATACTGCAACATACTGAAAATAGCGAAAATTACAAAAATTTACATCGATTCATCTATAAGTTATTGGTACAGGAATTTTGTGTCCGACACACAGTTTCACTTATCCTCCTGAAAGCATAGTACACCGTGTCTCAAAAAAACGAGTACATCACTACTATTTGCGCGACTAATTCCAAAGGCACCGTTCAAAAATACTGAAGAAATTATCTAGAAATACGAACGCCTGTACAGACCTTCTTACTCCAGGCCGTCAGTTTTAGGTATTTCTGAACAGTGCCTTTGCAATTAGTTGAGTAAATAGTAGTGATTTACTCGTTTTTTTTGAAGCACAGTGTAATATCAGACAAGGAATGTATGACGGAATAAAGTATGATAAATTTTATCGAAAGTATATGCAGTTTGATAATATGCAGGGACTTTATTATCATTAGTAAGGTAATGTATTCGCAGAGCTTCAGTAGTTACACAATTAAAAAAATCATAAAGGCTGACTTCAAAGGAGTCGAACATATTATCTATCCTTACAATTAAAAGAAAATCCTAACCTAAAAATTCGTGAAAAGTCTAAAAATAGTAAATCTCGTCCAGCTCTTTGCCTGCTGGAAGAGTAGGGACCTGCAGGGACTAATCTTATACATATGTATAAGATAAGTCTCGGGTCTCCCTTCAAGTCGTATAAATCTTTCGCCTTTTACTAAAGATTTCCGTGGAGGGGGACATTCTTAGGTACTCTTCCAGCAGGCAAAGAGCTGGACGAGATTTACTATTTTTAGACTTTTCACGAATTTTTAGGTTAGGATTTTCTTTTAATTGTAAAGTCCACGCATCTAAATTTATGTAGTTTTTGTCATGATTTATCTTTGTTTTGATTTATTCCGTATATTTTTAATTTATTTTCATAAATAACGTAATGCATTGATTGAGTTTAAATTGTTACATATTACGTGTTACAGAGATTGGGCTAATAAATATACATATATATACTGTATATGCATAAGTTAATGTACTTATCTTTCTTTGTTCCATGTATATCCGTCTGAATAAATATCTGAATAATTTTCTTCTCTCATGTTTAACAAAATTATAAACATAAGTTCCATAACATTTGATTAACTTGTGTCAAAAACAGGGAAAAGGGGTGCCAAAAGCATTTACCTATATATATTGTGAAATATAATTACAATTTATAGTATCGTTTATTGACATTTGATTCAAATGATTTGAATATCATTACCAAGAATACAACGTTACTCAGACTACCCCGATGCATTTACTACTTGAAACGTTTTATCTTCATTAGGAAGTTACACCTCAGTAGCTGCCGTTCTTCTATTCAGCTTTATTATTTGGGAATCTATTTCGACTGCCCGCCCTAGAGTCCATAACTTTATTTACTCTTCATCAATTGAGTGACTTCAAAATATACCCCCATCCGAACACTCATACTCGGAGCTATCCTTAGTCACACATTTTTAATGTGGCAGATTAGTGCAGTGAACTTAAAATTCAAAAATGAATAATTTATTCTTTTAAAAATTGCAACTTGAGCGGCTTTAGGGTTCCAAAACGCTTCTTCACCTTTAATAGAACAATTAATCTTTTTCCATGACCACACCCTAACAATTTTGATTTTAATTATTTCTATCGTAGGGTTTAATTTATTCTCAACTATACACAACACAAATATTGACCAACATATAATAGAATCCCAAGGTTTAGAACTATTTTGAACCATTATCCCAAGTTTTATTTTAATTTTTATCGGCCTTCCTTCTATTCGCTTAATATACTTACTAGATGAGGTATATAACCCGGCAATCACCATTAAAACTATCGGACATCAATGATATTGATCTTATGAGTATTCAGATTTTACTAACTTAGAATTTGACTCATACATAATTCCGTCAAACGAAATAAGAATAAATATATTTCGTTTAATTGACGTTGATAACCGAATAATAGTCCCTCTGAACTCCCAAGTCCGCACTTTAATTACAGCTGCTGATGTTTTACACTCATGAACAGTCCCAAGAATGGGAATTAAAGCTGACGCTGTGCCAGGACGTCTAAACCAAGTTAATTTTTATACAAACCGCCCTGGATTATTTTTCGGGCAATGCTCAGAAATTTGCGGAGCAAATCATAGATTTATGCCCATCGTAATTGAAACAATCCCAGGAAAAAACTTCATTAAGTGAGTAAAAAATATATCTAAGTAAACTATTCATTAAATGGCTGAAAGTAAGCGTCGGTCTCTTAAACCGTTTTATAACAATTTAACAAATGTTTTTAATGAAAAAAATTAGTTAACATTATTTATAATATAGTTTTGTCAAGACTAAGTAGTTTTTAAAACATTTTTTTATTCCTCAAATAGCACCCATTATATGGCTGTCTCTTTTTTTATTGTTCTCTTGGCTATTCCTCCTATCTGTAATTAAAATTTCTAATATTAAAAATACTAATATGAATACCAACGTTGGTCAAACTAATACCCCACTTAGTGACGACGGAACCGATCATATAAATTGAAAATGATAATAACTAATTTATTTTCAGTGTTTGACCCTTCATCTATAATTTTTATATCTTTAAACTGAATTAGATCATTAATTGTTTTAATGATCTTAACGCCTATGTTTTGAGCCACCCCTAATAAATTTTTTTTACTGACCCTAAGAATTTGCAAAAAACTTCATGATGAATTTAAGATACTGCTAGGACCCCACTCATCAGTAGGAAGAACTATCCCATTTATCTCTTTATTAATGTTTATTCTAATAAATAATTTTATGGGTTTATTTCCATATATTTTTACAGCTTCAAGACACATAATTTTGACCTTAACTTTAAGATTACCCCTATGACTATCATTTATGATGTACGGCTGATTAAATTATACCAAACATATGTTCGCCCATTTAGTGCCACAGAGCACTCCAAATTTATTAATACCATTTATAGTGCTAATCGAATCAATTAGAAATGTAATCCGGCCTTTAACTTTAGCAGTCCGACTTATAGCTAACATGGTAGCAGGACACTTATTAATAACTCTATTAGGCAACCAAACAGCAGCCGCCTCTAACTTAATCTTAGCTAGATTAATCCTAACCCAAATTCTTTTATTAACCCTAGAATCTGCTGTAGCTATAATTCAATCTTACGTTTTTGCGGTGTTATCAACACTATACGCTAGAGAAATTACACCCCACTAAATAAATAATGATAGTAAAGAGAGACCACTCATTCCACTTAGTAGACCTAAGTCCGTGGCCCCTTACTGGGGCCACGGGCGCTTTCATTTTAACTACAGGCATTGTAAAATGATTCCAAGAAATAAATATAAATTTATTTTTATTCGGTATAATAATTATAGCCCTAACTTGCATTCAATGATGACGTGACATCAGACGAGAAGGGACCTTTCAAGGACTCCACACTTCAATTGTAGCCAAAGGATTGCGCTGAGGCATAATTTTATTTATTACATCTGAAGTATTATTTTTTTTCTCGTTTTTCTGAGCATTCTTCCATAGAAGTCTTGCCCCTTCTATAGAAATCGGTTTAATATGACCCCCTAGGGGGGTGCTTCCCTTTAACCCATTCCAAGTCCCCCTCTTAAATACTATTATTCTTCTTGGTTCAGGCGTAACAGTAACTTGAGCCCACCACAGAATTATAGAAAATAATTTTTCCCAAGCATTCTTAGGGCTACTATTAACAGTCACCTTAGGTGTGTATTTTACTTCACTTCAAGCTCTTGAATACTGAGAAGCATCTTTTACAATCTCAGACTCAGCCTATGGGTCAACTTTTTTTATGGCAACAGGATTTCATGGAATCCACGTAATTATTGGCACAACATTTCTTATTGTGTGTCTCTCACGACATATAAAAAATCACTTCTCAAAAAATCACCATTTTGGTTTTGAAGCAGCTGCTTGATACTGACATTTTGTTGATGTGGTGTGACTTTTTCTTTATATAAGTATCTACTGATGAGGAGGTTAAAGTATATTTATAGTATAAAAAGTACACCTAACTTCCAATTAGAAGGTTCAATTTGTTCGATAAGTATAATTTTAATAGTATTTATTATCTCATTCGGGTTATCCACAATTTTAATTTTATTAAACTCTTTTATTGCAAAAAAAAAATATACAAGAACGAGAAAAACGCTCAGCATTCGAATGTGGATTCGACCCCAAAAGATCCTCACGACTTCCTTTTTCTCTTCGGTTCTATTTAATCGCAGTGGTATTCTTAATTTTTGATGTAGAAATTACTCTAATCATCCCCCTGCCAGTTATTCTCACATCAATAAATTGAGCCCACACTCTAACTCTATTAACATTCTTCATCTTAATTCTTTTAATGGGACTTCTACATGAGTGGGGCCAAGGAGCTTTAGACTGAAAATAATATTATATATTAATAAAATAGAGGATTGTAGTTAAAAATAACATCTGGGTTGCATTCAGAAAGTACTGTGAAAGTCTATCTTACACTAGTAAGAAGCGAAAAATCGCGGTCAGTTTCGACCTGAAAAATTTGGGTCCTCCCCTTATTTTAAAGGAAGCCAAAGAAGCGGCGAGCCACTGTTAATGGCTATTAGGTACTCAGCCTCTTTAATAAGAAAAGGAGCCAAATTTAAGCCGCTAACTTAAAATTTTAACGGTTAAACTCCGTTATTTTCTTTTTTCTATTTTAGTTTAATTAAAAACAAAACATTTTCAATGTTTAAATAAATAAATATATTTTTATGGGATACATTTTCAAGACTCAGTCTTCCCCTACAACTTCAACGTAGTGCTCTTTTATATAAGCTATAAAAATCTAAACTAAGCTAAAAAATAAAACCAACCCACCCATAAAGAAACTAAATATGAAGAATTTCATTCTTACGGAATTTAATACATCTGCCTTGGAAGAAATAAACTTAGATTTGTAAATAAATCCTTGCCCCCCTAAAAACTCCACTCAACCTTGGTCCGCAAGATTTAAAATTTTTACGCCGTACTTAATAATAGGAGTTAGAGCAAAAGTAGAAATAAAAGGAAGCAGTCACATCGAACCTAAAAAATAGTCTAAACCTGAGGTAGAGCTAATTTTCTTTATAGCCTTTAAGTCTGCTAAGAAAAAATAAATAAAGAAAAAACTAAAAATTATAGTAACGACCAATAATTTAAGCCACAAGGGTAGAAAAATAAAATTTATAGGAAATATATAAACTCTAAGCCACCCGCCAGCCAAAACTGATATAAAAATTAAAAATGTTATCGGAATTAATATGTTAATTCTCTCAGCTAAACTTAAAAGATACCGATTACCCATATTATTAAAAAAAGAAAAATACAAAAGGCGAACAGAGTACGTTAATGTAAACAATGTAGATAAAATTATTAAGCATCCCATAATTAAATTTATTTTACCTTGAAAAAAAAATTCAATAATTATATCCCTAGAAAAAAATCCTGATAAAAACGGAAACCCACAAAGAGCTATTGAAGAAATAATAAAGTACAAAGATGTGACTGGGCAAGAAATCATTAGCCCCCCTATCGCTCGAATATCCTGAGTGTCCCCTATAGAATGAATAAACACCCCAGCACATAGAAATAGTAGGGATTTAAATATAGCATGAGTTAAAAGATGAAAAAAGGCATACTCGTGGAAGCCCAGCCCCAAAGATGTTATTATTAACCCGAGCTGACTTAATGTTGATAAGGCAA